GCTGGTTTTGGGATGCGCTTGGGGGAGGGGAGATTTTGAAGCTTGTGTAGAGTTCTCCCCTCCCCCAACTGCATCTCAAAACCAGCCCAGCTTGTCCCCACCTCCCTAACGTGTCCTTCCTCCCACCTATCCCCTCCTCCCACCTCAAGCTGCATCCCCATCTCCTACTTACTAGCCTCATCCTGGCCCCTTGACCTGTCCGCCCTCCCTGGACTGACCTATCCCCTCCCTAATTCCCCACCTACACTCACCTTTACTGGCTCCATCCACGCCTCTTTGTCCTGTCTGTCTCCTCTCCACCTATCTTCCCCTTTATCCATCTTCTTTCCGCCTCCCCCTCTCTTCCTATTTATTTCAGAACCCCTTTCCCCCCCGCCATTTCTGAAGAAGGATCTAGGCCCGAAACATCAGCTTTCCTGCTCCTCTGATGCTGCTTAGCCTGCTGTGTTCATCCAGCTCTACACCTTGTTATCTCAGATTCTCCAGCATCTGCAGTTCCTACTATCTCTGATTTTAATATCCGTGTTTCCCTGTGTCATAGGACAGCTTATTACTAGGCATCAGCCCAACCTTTTTCTTTTCTACTTGGTGTTCTAAAACACTGAATTATTTGTGGGTTTATTTAAAACCCTCATTTAGATGCACGTCAACATATTTCTAGATATTACTCACAGAACTTAAAAAACAGAACTAAATTCTTCGTAACGTACACAGTATAGACAAACAAAATCAGCTTGAAGCTATAAATGATTCTACAAACTATAGAACCGAAATTTCCAAATAATATTATAATCCTTACATAACAGCTAATTGATCATAAACTGTTTCAGGTCATGAGAGGTGCAGTAGAAATTCAAGTTCTTATTCCTTCTCTCCTTCTCGCACATAATGTTCAACTATACAGTTGGGTACATCGGTGATGATCCTACTCCATCCATTCTTAAGAACACTGAAGTATTTGTCAAATAGTAAATATATAAACATCTCACCTCAGTCATCAACCATTGTTTTTGTCTCATGCCAATATCCAAGAGTTTAGTCTCATCTAGAATTTCATCCAGCGTCAGTGGATGGGTATCTCCTCGCTGGTGGCGGGTCTGCACAAAATTGGTAAAGTTTAAAATGCATAGAAGTCATATGGAAATCAGACACTTGGCCCAACAGATCTAATGACAACATTCGCCTACCATTTGAGAAAACATTCCTGATCACAGTCCTGAATTGCCTTCTGAAAAATGGTTTAGTTAATGTCAATATTCTATTTTTGTTTGTCTGCTACAATACAGGCTTTAAAGCCTGAAATCTTGTTGAATTATCCTGTCGGTTAGTCACTGGAAGTTTGAGAATCTTTATTGATTGCTATTTGGATTGTAACATCTTGACTCACATCAAGTCCTGATCTTCTCCTCAACCTTGTATTCAACAACCTAAAATTGCTCTTGGTCAAGAAAATAGATTTTAAAATTCTCATTCTTAGCTTTAAAACAACAGTTTCCGTCACAAGACTGGGTCCCTGATGAGATACTCCACTAATGAGTTGGGCTTGATATCCCCTTATCAAAAGTGTTGTGTTTTCTAACAAGGAACTGTGGAATCATTAAAACCATACCAGGCAGAGTTCCAATTGTTTCCTTCAAAATCATTCCATCTGAGGGAGGATTATAGTCCATAACTTCTCTATTGGCTTGACTAGATTGTCAGCATGACGCAAGGTTATGAATTTCCTGGAGATTGTAAACTTTTGTCCACTGGTTACTGCTAATCAGAACTTTCCAGAAATGGTTTCAACTGGTATCACATGAGCATTGGCAAAGTTAGAGTCATACAGCACAGAAATAGACCTTTCGGTCCAACCAGTCCATAATCCCAAACTGAACTAGTCCCACCTGCCTGCGCTTGGCCCATTTCCTTCCAAACATTTCTTATTCATGTACTTAACTAAATGTATTTTAAATGCTGTAACTGTACCGGCATCCACCACTTCCTCTGGAAGATCATTCCACACACAAACCACTCTGTAAAAAAACTGCCCCTCATTTCTTTTTAAAAATCTTTCTCCTCTCACCTTAAAAATATGCCCGTAAACTTGAAATCTTGTCAGTCGAGCAGAGAGCCTATTTTGGATGTGATGTCAGGTATGTAGGCCATTTTCAAAGATTGGCAGATCATATCAAACAGCATGTCTCTTTGACTGTGGCACCACCATACACATGCAAAACTTATAACACAGTGTGTCACATTAGTTGTGATTAATTGTGATTCAATTGGACACATGCTGAATAACATGCAAGGGTATACTGACAAAAATTTAGGACTGTCAGTCAGGCTTGCATGTACTGGAAACTACATATATTAATCTACAAGGTCAGTTCTCCAGTTCTGAAAAGGTCATACCAGATTTGAAATGTAAACTCTATTTTCTCCACAGATGCTGCCAGGCCTGGTGAGTTTCTCCGGCATAACTACCTTGCATTACATGTCCTGTATTTTCTACAAGTTGTCAAAGACACTTGTAGTATGCTTATAGCAGAAAGGCTTTCAATTTTCAAAAGCCAGCTATGTTTCCTAATTTTTCCTGCCACTGCGCAACAGATTTCTCTCATTCTGGGGACTTCCTAATGTCTGGTTAGAAAGGTTGGCTTAGTTGGGATGGGCTGCATGGGTCACTTTGGCATGGATTAGGAACTCTAGGTTGTCCTGGTTATGCATTTATTTCCTAATCAGTGAAGTCACTTTGATTTGTTGGGCTCCAAGAGCAGTATACTGTGAAAACTCCAGCTGCTCTGGCTAGGGTCATAGTATGTGGGCCCAATGTGCACTGAATTTTCTGCTTAATCTGGGCTAGCTTGTCAAAGGTCATTTGGTAGGGTTTTTATTTATTAGTGAGGAACATCCTGTATCTCTTCATGGATTGTTTGATAGATAAACCCAAACTGACCCCTTTGGATTTCTTTCATTTTCCACAGCAGGCTAGCCACATCCTTCGAATGCTCTTCGGTCAAGTGTGCTAACCATGCATTACGATCAAAATTCTGGTGCGTGTCAAGTTTGCAGCTAAGGGTTCAAATTAGAAAGCCTTCAGTACCTCCCTCCTTAACTGAGACTCCCTTGCTATCCTCAGATGTGTTTACCTTCTGATGTGCCCTTATCAGTTAACTAAACTCGGAGTTTAATTGTAACTATACTTGATCTCCCTGTTGTGTAGATACAAGTGTGGTAGTTTTGGGCTACCAGTTTTCCCTCACCTATTACCTTGTTTGGTTCTCAACCTCTCCCACTGCATTTGGGACACTAATGCTCTCCAGTGGCTGTCCAGATTCTGCTTCACCAACTCAAGTGTGTCACTCTGCAAAGCTGCATAACTTTCTGGGACATCGCCTGTTTTCCCTTCAAAAATTGGAAACATTGCATTGGCTTAGCAGTGCTGCTGCTGGATGTTTTGAAGCTGTTGTGGAACTAATCATAAGGACAGTAAGGATGAAATAAAAGTGGATGATGTAAAATTCTGGATGATCAAGGATGAAGGCATAAGCTTTGAAAGCACAGAAAAGTGGGGAAAAAATGAAAGGATTGTTTAGATAAAGAACTTGACGTGCTATTAGATATTTCATACAGGATAATCGAGTCATGACAATATAACATCCAAGTCAACCCTGAAAAAGTGGTATGAAAGGTAAGTTTTGACAGAAAGTCACTGCAGTAACCAATGGACAGAAATTCCTAAGAATGGAAACACGCTTGCTTATCTCACACACTTGGGACGTTTGAGAACAAAGATCAAAGAACAAAGAAAATTACAGCACAGGAACAGGCCCTTCGGCCCTCCAAGCCTACGCCGATCCAGATCCTGTATCTAAACCTGTCGCCTATTTTCCAAGGATCTGTATCCCTCTGCTCCCTGCCCATTCATGTATCTGTCTAGATACATCTTAAATGACGCTATCGTGCCCGCCTCTACCACCACCCTCTGCGTAAAGAACTTTCCACGCATATCTCCCTTAAACTTTTCCCCTCTCACCTTGAAATCATGACCCCTAGTAATTGAGTCTCCCACTCTGGGAAAAAGCTTCTTGCTATCCACCCTGTCTATACCTCTCATGATTTTGTAGACCTCAATCAGGTCCCCCCTCAACCTCCGTCTTTCTAATGTAAATAATCCTAATCTACTCAACCTCACTTCATAGCTAGTGCCCTCCATACCAGGCAACATCCTGGTGAACCTCCTCCGCACCCTCTCCAAAGCATCCACATCGTTTTGGTAATGTGGTGACCAGAACTGTACACAGTATTCCAAATGTGGTCGAACCAAAGTCCTATACAACTGTAACATGACCTGCCAACTCCTGTACTTAATACCCCATCCGATGAATGAAAGCATGCCGTATGCCTTCTTGACCACTCTATCAACCTGCGTTGCCACCTTCAGGGTACAATGGACCTGAACACCCAGATCTCTCTGTGCATCAATTTTCCCCAGGGTTTTTCCATTTACTGTACAGTTCGCTCTTGAATTGGATCTTCCAAAATGCATCACCTCGCATTTGCCTGGATTGAACTCCACCTACCATTTCTCCGCCCAACTCTCCAATCTATCTATATTGTGCTGCAATCTCCGACAGTCCCCTTCACTATCTGCTACTCCACCAATTTTAGTGTCATCTGCAAACTTGCTAATAGACCATCTATACCTTCCTCCAGATCATTTATGTATATCACAAACAACAGTAGTCCCAACACAGATCCCTGTGGAACACCACTGGTCACAGTTCTGTATTTTGAGAAACTCCCTTCTACTACAACCCTCTGTCTCCTGTTGCCCAGCCAGTTCTCTATCCATCTAGCTAGTACACCCTGGACCCCATATGACTTCACTTTCTCCATCAGCCTACCATGGGGAACCTTATCAAACGCCTTACTAAAGTCCATGTATATGACATCTACAGCCCTTCCCTCATCTATCAACTTTGTCACTTCCAAAGAAATTAAGACATGAAACACCAAGAGGAGAAATAAAAGTAAAGCAGTTCAAACATCAGCATCCTGTCGAATACAAACTGATACTCACATGTTATGGTCAAATGGTTTGATATTATAATTTAACCATAATTTGCTATCCAAGTGCCGTTTCTAAAAGTTGGTACCACTTCGACACATTTTAAATCCAGCATGATACCCCAGTGTTCAATAACTTGATCATGAAGAATGTGGTTGACTTTGGCATAATGTTATTTACCATCCAAGATTATATCATTGCTTTGCAAGGAATTATTTGTTTTGAGATATTTATCCATGCCTTAGATGACAAAGCAAATGATATCAGACACTCTTCTAACGCAATTTATTGTGGAACCTCCTTTGATTGGTGGCAAGCCACTATTGAATGTGTTTGGGAATAATCATTTACTACATTATCTTGGTTCTCTATTTTAGTTCATCCTCCTTTACAATCTTAGGGAACATTAGTTTATGTTTTTGTTACATGTGGCAAAAAAGTAAGTAGTTTTACTCTTACTTGAGAAGGCTGCAAAGAATTTTGGTTACTAATTGACTGCATCAGACATTTAGTAATGAAAGAAAAGTTCGTTTAATTCAAAGCACTTGCATAAGATTATTTTTATTGCTAAATTTCAGTAAACCTATTGAAACTTTGGTAAGTAATGACTATAAAAGTGACAGAGAAAAAATCTCGGAAAACCCAAATAGAAAATGACATGAAAGTTAGAAACATTTTGCAGTAGTCACAGGCAACTAACTTCTTGTCAACAAAATGATCCCTGCCACTGCCACCCCAAATGCTGCAACACTGTTCCCACTTCTCCCCTCTATTCCCAATCTGGATAATGGCCCGTACATTTTTAGGTCACCGATTGAAAAAGGATCAAACCTTTCCTTAGGATTTTTTTAACCAAGTTAATCCCCTGAAAAGGTTTTACCATTAAGCTACTAAAAACTTACATTTATGTACCCCTGTTTCCATTGTGAAACCAGGGGATAACCAAAAACTTTATCAAAGAGATGGGCCATATGGAAGAAAAGACAATGAGGTTTGGTGGGGAATTTGACAGCAAGAGTACCTAGATAGCTAACGGCAGTCACTGACGGTAGTTGCAAAGGGAGATGCACAGAAAGCGGTGTCAAACAAGTCAAGGCAGGAGAATGGGTTGTGGAAGAGTATTCAGGAAGGAAAAGAAAGCAATAGATTTACATACAGAAGCTAAGTGTTGAAGAAAGGGTAGAAACTAGAACATTAGAGTGCTGAGTGAAAACAGAAGCCATAGGTTGAGATATTCTAGCCATGGCTCAACAGGTAAGAATGCAAACAATCAAGGGTAATCCCACTGAACCACACAACAAAGGGTAGTCACTGGAGATGAATGGTGGCATTAATTATGGTCTGGAAAGACAAGGAATGGAGAATACATCCCAGTGACACAGGAGATCTTTTGAAGTTGAGTTAGTTGCAAGCCATCCAAGAAGATCAACAGAGTAAAAGTTTTGCTGGGAACAGAACATCAAAAGGTAGATACAAGGGATTAGTTCAGCTAATTGACACTTCAGTTGCAAATTATGTTTGCAATGTCAAACTCCAGGTAGCTGGGATTCAGATAGTTTAACTATAACTAATCTGGAAAAATTTTATCTAACAGAAACTTTTCTTATGCCAATTATGTAGTGATTGTAATGAGGTCAGTCAGGTGATTGGGCCGGTTAACCTGGTTCAGTTAGGGAGCCCTGGTTGATAGATATAGAACAGGTGTGTCAGAGGTTTTGTTCACTCAGAGTTGGCTCTGAGGGAGCAGGATCAGTGTCAAGGCCTCTCCATGTGTAAATAAGGGGTAGCTTGGTGACTTGATGCTGGCTTCATTGGAGTTATTTCAAATTAGATTTTGTTCATAATACATGAACAAAAATGCGAAGATTTAAAACTGTTCATTGCCTATTTTAAGCAAAATTATGAAAGCTAATTACTAGTCCAAGCAGAAAGAATTGGAAGCCATTTACCTTCATGTAGTTGACTATTTTAGCAAGTACACCAAATTTGTATCCAGCACTCCCTGGAAGTGCTCTATAGGCAAAAGATGCATTTTCTGTAAAACAATAGGGTTTATTATCAGAATGTTTTTTCAAAAGTAAAAGATATAAAAACAATGGTAGCATTCTTCAAAATCATTTTAATCAATCTACTCAAACGTATTATGACACAGCTCCACGGGCAGGTCATACTTAAGCCTTGACCTTATAACCCAGAGGTGCACAGTCACATCAATGTGCTACAAGCGTCCCCCAAAATTATGCTGATCAATTTGTTTGAACATGTTATGAAACATCGGTATTGTGGTTTTAACGCGACCATGGTACACAAGACCATTCCTCCAGTCCCATTCTACTGTGTTGCTGATTTCCAAACCTAGATGCAAAATCTGTTCTATTAGTTTTTTCCTGTGATTTATTGCCAATTTACATTTGCTGTCCATTCCAAGCTCCCAACTTGAACTGTTGCATTTCAATAAATATACTCTCAGTGCTGTTTAGAAGGAAGAGAGTTTCACATTTTGCCCCTTTGTGCCAGGGTAGTCTATAGACTCTGGAACAGTTCCAGATTGGAGGTCAGCTAATGTAACCTCAACTATTTTAAAAAAGAAAAGGTGAAGAGAAAACAGGGAATTATAGACTGATCAGCCTGACACTGGTAGGAGGGAAAACGCTAGCGTCCATTGTAAAAGATTTAAAAGTGCTTGACACTTGGAAAACAGTGACAGGATAGGGCAAAGTCAGCATGGATTTACGAAAGGGAAATCACATTCCACAAAGCTACTGTGACTCAGTGGTTAGCACTGCTGCCTCACAGTGCCAGGGACCCAGGTTTGATTCCAGCCTTGGTTGACTATCCACGTGGAATTTGCATGTCCTCCCTATGTCTGCGTGGGTTTCTGCCAGCTGCTCTAGTTTCCTCCCACAGTCCAAAGATGTGCAGATTAAGTGGACTGGCCAAGCTAAATTGCCCAAAGTGTCCATGTGTAGGTTTTGTGGTTGGCTATGGTAAATGCAGGGTTATGGGGATAGGGTGGGGGGAGCTGCAAGGTGGGATGCTCTTCGGAGGGTTGGTACAGACTTGATAGCAGAATAGTTTCTTTCCGCACTATAGGGATTGTACGATTCTTTGATACTAGAACGTTGAGATGTAAACAGTAGAGTTGATAGGGGGGAACCAGTAGATATGGTTAACTTGGTACTTTGAGAAGGCCTTCAATAACATCCTGCAAAGCACATAATACTGGGGATAGTATAATGAAATGGATGGAGAGCTGGGTGGCAGATAGGAAACAAAGAATAGGAATAAATGTTTCAGAGATAGTAGGAACTGCAGATGCTCGAGAATCTGAGATAACAAGGTGTAGAGCTGGATGAACACAGCAGGCCAAGCAGCATCAGAGGAGCAGGAAGGCTGACGTTTCGGGCCTAGACCCTTCTTCAGAAGAA